TGAATTTTATTTTGAAACTTGCGTTGCCTTTTCAGCCAATTCCCTAGCAGATTTTTTAAAAATTCTCAAAAATCTCTCAAATTATAATTGTTCAAGGAGTATCTAATCAAGTGTAGTATTTTAGGGGGGCAAACAACTTTTCTCGGTTGAAGCATTTTTCATTTCCAATCACTCCTTGATCTTTCTTATTTCTTTTATTTCCATATAAACTCAGTAACAAGTTCTTGAGAGCTCAGGGAGTTCTTTATCTGAGAAAACAGTTTTTCTCAATATAATATCGAAAGGCAATGAGCTGGAACATAAGTACCTTTGATACAGTGTGTGTTGGAGAGCAGCTCACTTGAGAGCAATTGAAGTGAAAGGGAAGGCATTGAGGAGAGGCAGGTGGTGGGACTGATCAATACTTGATGAAGCTTTACCATTTCCACTCTCCTCTTGTTCACTGGTAAATGAAGAATCCAAGAGAATAGCAGCTGGGAATGATGGATTAATGGGGCTTCAGTATTGCCTTAATTAGACCCCAGGTAGTAGTGACTGTGACTGCAGCAGTGGGGGGGCACTGTGGCAGGGCTGGCCATTACCTGGGCATACGCTAGCACAGTGCTGTAGTAATTGTTTCAAAACAATGTCAAGATTGTATGATATTGAAATAAATACAATGGATGGTATTGTTGGTGACAACACATCACAAGGGGTGGGTGGCTGGCACTGGGTCCACACACATATAAGGCAGATGGGTATTTCACTGTTTTAAAATTTGTAAAAAAAAAAATTTAAAAAAGAAGAAGGATATTCAGGTTGATTTATTGAAAAAAAAATGAAAGAAATGAAAAAAGTTTTTTTTCTCTTTTGCTTTCTGCTTCCAGCTAATGAGTTGCAGGTAGTCCTGTGTGTTCTTCTTATTATTATTTTTGTGCTTGTTATTTGTTACCTGGTGCTTGGCATAGAACCACGCCTTATTCGCTTTATGATGCCAACTGAGGCTTCAGGAAAAAATGCTGCTCCATCACTGGACACCAGCATATGTACCTTACACCTTCTAATAGCATTAATTAAATAGAATTGAGAGTTATAATGGGAACTATATAAAATGTTATCACTGTTAAGTTTTTTAGAAATTCAGCAAATTACGCTGTGGTTATGCACTTCCATTAACCCTGATTAATTGAAATTGGAAGATGTTATGGAAATTATAATAACCATTAAAAGTTAATGTTTCAAATTATTCAGCCTTTATTTGGTCCATCATATTCTTTTAATTTTCACACTTAAGGAAAAAAAGGGAAAATGTATGTACTAATTTCACCAATGAGGGATCATCTGTGCAAAGATGTACTTAAATTGGCAAACATGTCCTTCTGCTTCTAGGAATTTGTCTTGGCGCATCGCATCTGCGTTACAACAGACGCATGTGAGGTCAGATGAACTGCTTTTTATGTGTATGAATCATGTTCTACGATTGTTACTTGCTGTCTTTCGCAGCATATATGTCTATAACCAACCAACAGCCAGTTGGTAGTGATTAAAAAATATCAAACTTTATTATTTTTTCATCATCCATCATCACAAAATAGTTGGTGAAATACTCCAAATTAAAATCCTTTTAAGTTTTACACATTTGTTCTCTGCCTGGTTGCGTTTTTAGAGGTTGAACACAGATAAAGTATGTCGTAAAACATTTATCGACTCCTGAAGGTTTCATCGGTACTGTTTTTGACATTTATGATAGTGTCTGGGTTCACTTTTCATGCGCATTGAATATCAAAAAGATTTGCACTGAAATGGCCTTTTCTTGTATGACAAAAGTACCATTACTTATTTGCCAATATTGTACATTCAAATGTGAAAAATAAATCCAACATCAGTCCATTTAGAATAATTCCACTTTTTACACATTTTCCTATCCAGCATTTAGACTATTTAGAGTTTTGAATTTTTTTGAGTATGTGACATATTGGTGCATGCTCATGGAATTTAATGTGCATGGAGGAACCTGGATAAGAGCTCCATATCAATAATGACCAGTTGTGCCCCAATTCACAGGCTGTTGACTTAAACATTGTACCTAGTGACTTTGGGGTCAGCTCACCTTGCCAATAGTTCCAAGGGGACGCAAAGAAAAAAGAAGCGCATCTGTTTATGTGGGCGATTTGTTCACTTTTTAAAATTTTCATGTGATAACTATTTTTTTTTTATTTTTGACTTTTTGATTAACAAAATTTAACTTCATTATTATTATTTCATATTTGTTTATTTACTTACCACCATATTGGGTAGTTAGAATAATTGAAATTGACTGCAAAATCTCGGATGGCACAAAAGTGAAAGATTGTCATATTCCATGACGATTTCTGCATAAAATGGACGAAATCATCCAAATTTGTCATATCCGGATGAGAACAAAAACAAAGGAATTGTCACTGAAGAGCTAAAAGATTAACAGGAGTGTCATTCTCATTAAATTAATGACGCAGTCAGTGAAATGAATCTCTCATGCAGTGAGGCTAAGTGAAGCAGAAATGAGCAATGAACAGTGTGATTTGACTATGTGTGTTATGCCTCATTATACCAGAAAATTTGTGATTAGAAACAAAGCCTTAGCATCTGTGGCCTTGCACAATGCAGATAAAACAACTCTTCATTATAATTGACAGTGGGACACTTGTCATCCAAAACTTTAAAATGTAGACAGGTTAAAGATATGGTACAAATTATCAGAAAAATGTTTTTAACATTTTATAACATTTAATAAAACTAAAAATTTAGATGAATTGTGATTTAATTTATTTTGAGAAAAGTTTACATACAAGCTTTTGATAATTTTACATTTTTAGCATTTTTGAAAAATATTTTAAAAACTAATGCACAAGCATTTGAATGTTCTTAATTCAGACAAAAAATAATTCTCATTTTGCTCATTTAAAATTTGGCATTTTTGAAGTTTGAATAGGATACCTTTGTGAATCAGTTTTCTAAGGAAATTGGTGGAAATTGAAACCGGCTAAGTTCAGGTGTAATGGAGTCCCTCCATGTTCCCTGTCTACCCACTTTTCAAGTGTTGACGTTTTAATGAGGAGTAGTAAAATGCAGGTGTCCAATTTGATAAATGGTACAAATTGGCAGTCTGTAACCAAATTTATGTTCAGATAATGTGTACAAAATGGAATGTCATTACCAGAGAGGGACTTATATACTAATCAGGTAGATGCTGAATTTATTGATTATATATAAATTTTAGGATAATGAAATCACTTTTTTAATTTCTTTTTAGAGTGGCAAATTCAATTCGTGAAAATTGAATATGAAAAAGACCATCACATTTTATTAAAGTAGAGTTACTGATTAAATTCACCTAACTGGCAAATTTTCACGATGCCTTTTGGAGTTGTGTTCTGGAGTACATATAATAAGAATGTCATCAAATGATATATGACTCTAGCAGTCTTTAGTATACTCAGATTAGAAAATTTGCACTTAGTTGTCTTCCCCTAGGCCCAGTTGTCATAAATATCTTTGGGTTCTGTCTGTAAAATTTGTCATTTGGAAAAGGGGGTCATTTTGGGCAAGTTTTTTTTAACAAAAATATTAAGAGAAATAGATCAAGCAGGAAGAAAATTATAAAATAATGTATTTGGTTAATGTATTTATCCAAACCAGATCATTTAAGAGAACAAGTGGTCTTCTGTTGGATAGTTTGGCAGCTGACAAGGATTTAATGAAATTGAGAACCATATCTAACCGACCACAGAAATGAGGAGTTTCATTAAGTTTAATTATTTGTCTGTTTTGTTGGTACCCTGTACAGGGAGGTAGTATTTCTCACTGAATCCACCCCTGTTTTTCCCCTCCCTTTGTGCCTTTGTCTGGGCTAGGATTGTTCCGTGGGTACCCATGCAGAGGAGTCTGTCAAGTTTTGTGCTGATGTCATAGTAAAATCAATGTTGTCAACACAGATCAGCTCAGAGAGCACTGCGCTGTATCAATAGCACGGCAGCTTTGAACGCATTGACTTTGAATACAGCATAGAACCCTTCTTCATGATAGACTGACTGTCAACAAAACAGAGAGTAATCAAAGCTGTGCAGAGGCGCTAATATTATCTGACAGGGAAATTGTCCATGACGACTGGAGTTGATTTATGTGGATGTTCTTTTCCAGTAAAGCTTGTGGATTGAGTTGCGCTATTGACACATGTGGGGTTCTTAAGTGCTTGTTCCCGCCCCCTTTGAGTGTCCTTACACCATTTGGGAGTTATGGGGGAGATCTCTTTCTGCTTACAAGCTTCTTTTCTATTAAGGGGACATAATCTAGTTTTAGGTTTTGAATAGTTTTACGGCTTATACAAAATGCATGTTTTAAGAGTGTCAAGCCATGTTTGCCTGTGATGAAACTAAAAAATGTTTTTTTACTTCTGTGAAAAGCATGGAAGCACCCTTGTCGCATTCCTTTTAAATTGGAATGAATAGATTACATGACGGCATTAAAGAAAATAAAATTAAGTTCTATGTGAGAATGATATTTCTCTCTTCTTAAATACTAGACCTAGTTGCACATTGTTAAGTATGTCAGGAAAGATTTAAAATCAACTTAAATTGGAAAATTACTTACAACTGTTAACCTAGTCGGTCATAATCATCTGGTAAAGCAATATGGTACATATACAGAACTAGCCATGCATCAGTGCTCATGCAAAACCAGGTTGTTTAGTGCTCTTAACTTCAGGGACACAATTGGAATCCTTGTCCAACTTATCTTGCAGCCTAAAACTGCCTGTCAGATGTTAGTCAGTATAGAAGTACATTTTTTTCTTTTGAAAAGCCAAATAATAACTCATGAAAATCCCTTTAGAAAATTGTCAGAAAATAATTCTTTGAACAGTTTTTAAGGACTTTGTATGATAAAACACCTGTGATTTTTTTTTCATGTTTTGAGATCAATATTAACACCTTTATTTTCTTTGTAATCCCAAAGTCTTATTCTGTTTTTATTTCAAATTCCAGCTGTGTTACAAAATAAGCACTATGGTTTAGAGCACCACATAGGAAGCCATCATGGGCATCTCTTCACAGATCCTGATATCAACTCAGAGGGGGAATGCAATCTTCAGGTAAGACATTTTTCTGAATACATGGAATAGTTTCTTCAATTTGCAGCGTTGTTCTTCTAATCTTCATCTGCGATTCTAAGATGTGGATGATGATTTTATTTTGTTTTATTTAAAGGTTTGTATTTTCTTTTTTCTTTGATAGATACTAAAAAAAAAACAGATGGATTTTGTTTATTAAAGTCAATCATTAAGTTAGTGACTTACGGATAACAAATGTATTTATTCTTTTTTATGGCAGACATAAAAGTTAAATTTGATTTTAAAAAACTTTATGAGAAAATGCTAACTTTTTTTAGCAATTCAAATTGATTGATTTACAAACTGTCTGATATTAACTTACACAGACAGGTGAAATAATCACCTGGGGACCTGCTGTTAGCAAGGCAAACGGAAACATTCAGCAAGCTCATCAGCATTGTGTCTGGAGATGTCTGCAAAACTGCTTTTTTTTGTCCTCAATATTTTCTCATGAACCCGCTTTTCCTTTCTGCCTTTCTGGGTGTGTATGCAGCCAGTCAGCTGGAACAAACCAATTATCAGTGAAAGATATGTGCTACAACCTACCCATTCCAGGCACTGACAATATTTTTACCCAAAAATGTCATTATTGATTTTTTTTAATTGTTATGTAGTTACACTTAATTTGTAATTGAGTACCCTCTCTCAGTCGTTCTCCTTTTCCTTCCATTTTCCTCCTTCAGAAAAAAAATGTAGACATATTTGGGAATTTAAATACACAGTTTATTGGAGAGAAATAATTGACATTTTTGCCTAATTTGTAAGATGTGACTGCTATTTGAAAATCAGACATTGAAAGTCAAGGCTGCAGACAGAATTAGAAAATTCAATTTTGGAGCACTGACGATGACTTTTGGTACATATTCTTAAGATGATTTTTAAAAACTCTAAAGTGACTTGTAAACATGTTTGATTGATAAAATGTGTATACTTCTCTAAGTGTTTGTATATATTCTGATTACTTATCTCTGTTCATGTCATTGCCGTCATTGTCTTCTGTTGCTCAGATATGTGGGTGTAAATGCTGGTTAAATAATGTAAAATAGTCTAGGGTAGAATTGCTAAGGATGTTTTAACGCTTTCACCTCAGACAACAAGGTAAACTGCATATGATTCATCCACCATTTTGATATTTGGTGAGCAATCGTCATTTTCATGCACTGAATAAATCATGTTAGTTATCCCTGGCTACTGGAAATGCAAATTTGTTTCTTTTTTATCATGATAGGCCAATCCAGATATTAAGGGGACAATTGATGAATTTCATTTTAAGCGCTCTAACCATCCATCTTGCCTAGAGGACATTGAATTTATTTTTTTTTTTATTTCTTTGATCTCTGTATATGTATGCCATATTTGATGTCTAGTTTTTTAAAATTTTATTTCAGGCTCTAAATGGGTTTCTTATGGTGATATCATGTGATACAGAGGTTTTCTATGCCTCCAGAACAGTGGAACAGTACCTGGGATTCCATCAGGTAAGAAAAAGTATATCTTGAATAAATTTTGACTAAATATAATTTTCCAAACAAAATAAAAGAACAACAGATTTAAAAAAAATGATCCATTTTATTTAAAGATTTTAAAAGTGGATGGCATTGTGAAATATGATTTCGTTGATACCTTGTTTGTGTTCTTGGTACATTTAGCTGATCTGTTGGTGGAAGTGAGCATGTTAGCAACAAGTGTGGCATGAAACATTAAATCAAGACATCTTGGCATGTGTACATGCAATATACTCCTCCTCCGAGCAGGTATCCATCGCTTGTGATCCCCTTAATTTTCCAGATCAGTACATCATTTTTGTAATTGCTCCTAAATGTAATGGCTTTTTGGGTGCTGACCACTGGTGTTTGTGACACGATTGAGACTGTTATTCAGAGTCTAGCGGTAGCTGATTCGCATATGAAATATACGCTATTTTGGCAAACAGAGGTTTACCACACAACATCAGAGTTGCAGTCATGCACATAATGATGAATAATTGAATTTATAGGTTGAAATTTGTTACTACCGTGATTGTAGGCGTGTTGTACAACATTTCATTATTCTTCATGCAAGGCAACATTTTCAAGCAAGAAAACAATTCGGTCAGTGACAAAAACAAAAACCGATCTACTTTTAGTGCATCACAGAGCTATGTGCGAATAAACTGGTTGCCATGGTTACTGTAGATATTGTTTCAATTGAATGGCAGATCAATAGAGAATGTAGGTAAATCTGAAGCATTTAATTAGATGCTCAGCAGGATTACAAGAAGTTCTGAAAAAAATGATGGGAGTTTTGCATGCATCTTGCACACTATCTCTTTTGTTGCTGACCTTGTGCTTTCTGTCTTATCAATTAAAGTGCGTATTAACAGGAATTAAGGAAAAAATGAAACCTTAAAGACCTGAGTCAGAAGTCTTGAAATGTGTAGAAAAAAAAAGAACTTGAATGTTCATGAGGATATTTCACCTGTCATCATTAGCACCATTATTTCCAAATATGCTTGTTGAAAGTTATTTCAGTTGATTGGTAATATCCGAAAAGAATCTTTAGAGCATGAAGGTGAAAACAATACATCAAACTTACCTTACAGCATTCATGAAAGGTCCTGGAAAATATTTCCTTCTGTTACAGCCATTATTTGACAGCATGCAATCAATTAAGAAAAAAAAAAGAAGAATGTTGCTGATATTTGTTTTAAAAAACTGTTTTTGAATATTATTTTTACAAAATTAACAAAAGTGATATGATTTTTTAATATCATAATTATATGTAATATTTTGAAGATGCAGTTGTGTTATTTTTTTTTTCTTTTGCCCTTGTTTGTCTGTGCATGTTGCACTTGCCGAGTAGTGAGCGTAGTGTGTAATTGTCCGCCACCCCTTCATTTAGAAGTGTGTCAGATAAGTAGGAACACTAGAAAGCATATATTTTCAACATTAAGATAAAAGAGAATTTTGTAAAAGTATCCATTAAGACGACTGATATGCATAAAACTTCCCTGCCTGGTACTTGAGCCAGATAGTGGCACTGATAAAGAGGAATTAAGGGGTGGCGGGTGCACCAAGGGTCATTCCTCAAAGCACCTGTTTGAATTAGCATGGAGAAATAGCACTTGGAGAGGAAATGGAACATATAATGGGAATTTTGTGACTTGTATACAAATTCTTTTTTGTAGTTTTTTTATGTTAAAAATGGATTTTGATATGCTCTCATGTAGGCGTGTACTTGTAAACCTGTGATTATTGAGAAATTTAAATTGATATGTATGCCTCCGCAGCTTTGTGCGGATTGGAGCTCTCTGTACCATTTTGTGTACATTTTAAAAGAGAAAATTTTGATATAAGCAAATATGAAAAAATTCTCCAAATGCAAGTGACTTTATATGAGACATTTCTTGTGTTTTAGCAGTGATAATCAAGTTATCGTATTATCTCTTTATGAAACTGAACCTTTGGGAGTTAACTAAATATTTTTTAAAATCAGCATTTTCAGTTTCTGTTTTTGGTTTAGTTTTTTTTTTTTTTTTTCTTGAGAAGCAAGTTGAAGCAAAGAATGTGATTATGGCGCAAAGAAACAACACCAATAAACAGCTTTTGTAAACGTGTTGACAATAAGTAGATGGACACTTTAGAAAATATTTCAGAATCCTTTCAAGACATGAAATTAAAGTTGAGCTAAATTGAATAACATGTTGGCAATATAGCTAGGGCTTTGTTGACACTAGAACCAGATGGAGATGGATTACTGGGATTGAAATAGAGGCAAAAGGCGAGGTCCATTTTAATTAAGTGAAAGACAGCAATGAAAAGTGTGATTAAACAGTGATAAGTGGTTGTAATTGAATTCTAATCACCCCTTGGGGAGCCCAGGTTACCAGTTTTCACCAGCGCTAAAATAGACTGCAGTTTTTACCCGTCATTGCGAAGGCATCAAGTCCGCCAAAGATGACCAGACTGAAGATCAATGTCAAAATATGAGAAATCATGGCAGTGTGCACAATCTGCTAATTTCCACACTGGAATTGTTCCACTGACATCATCAATCTAAACCAATTCCCCTGTGGGATGGTTAGAAACAAGTTTTCTCCCTGTCATGTTTCTAATTATTTCTCATGCAAACTCATTACTTTTTATACCAAACAAAAATGACAAAAAAAGTAATTTTGCAGCTTCTTTCATTGATTTTATTTTAAATGTTTTTCATTTTGATGATAATGTTGGAAACAATTATTATTTTTACTTGCTTCATGAGAAATCAACATTTTTGGCATTGACAGTGAATAGTTCTGAATGTTCATATGTGGAAAAAATATTGTAATTGAAATGTCACCAAAATAAATGTCTAGATTGTAATACTATAATTGAAATATCACCAAAATTAATGTGGCAAAAAAAAAAAAAACGTGATACCTTGTAAGTTGATTTTGTCGTAGAATTGTGAAGGGATAGGATTTCTGAAGTCAGTAATTCTGTTGTTCTTATCTGATGAAGGTCAACATTCAATATTTAGTATGAAAAGGTTATTAAAATTTCCAGAAGTAAGTCAAATTGCAAGATTTGTTGACCGGTTTGTAATTGAAGTGAAACTTTTTCACAATGAAAGTGCTATTTTTTAGAATGTTGATTGAGGTGAAAAAATTTAGCTAGAGTTGAATTGAAATATAGCAAGGAAGATAAAGTAGGGGCATTTTTGAAAATTCAATTTAGATAAGTATAGTGAAAAACGTGAGGTTAAGATGCTCTGTCTGATACAGTGGTGCCAAAAAATGAGTGTTTTACCTCACTCGGTGGCATTTTGGACAGTTATTATCACACACATTAAAAAAGAAAACTTAAAAACTCCCCATTTATTAAAGAAAGTGGTGCTAGGTATGTGTTGTCTCCAATGAGCCATCACCAGTAAGGCTGCTCCTCCATTAATAGGGATGTGTGGATGCATTTAGATGACTTCATTTCTGTGAAAATTGGCAGATTGAAACACAGGCAGTAATGTTGTCTTAATTTCTTTTTTAATTGAGCTAATAAGGTGCTGTTGACAGATCCTTTGTGCAGAGATCATAATGCCTTTTATAAATAATGAAGTGATTAAAGGAATTTGTCACCCAGACCATATTTTTGTGACAGGTTACAAGCATTCTGGCTGAAGATAGTCTATTTCTTTGTCAGCTAATATTCTCTTGGGTGAGAAAGGAGGACATTATATCATAGTGTTTAGAATATACTTTTCATCAACAAATGTCAGCATATTTTTCACGTACAGTAAAAGGTGATTTAGGAATCCATGAAAGGAGCAGATTGGATTAGGTATTAATTAGATTTCTTATGGCAATTGAATGTCCTATCTTATATCACTTAAAGGAAAAAAAGAGGGACAGAGAAAAAATTTACAACTTTTAATATTCACTTCTAATCCAGTCAGATATTTAAAGAAAAAAATGTTAGTGAACCCAAGTTTTCAGAACACATGGACATAAAAAAAGGAAAAAGGGGGAAAACATAGCTGCAATCTCTAATCATGCCCGCCTTGTAAGGTTGCTACTGGAGGCAACTAATCAAGGTAATGAAAAGAGTTTAATTTCAGAAATAGGTCCCCAGTGGGGAAAACCTCCGGTCTCTGTGGATCACTTCCAGAGAAGGCACATGATGACCTAGAGTTGTTCTAAGAATTGAAAAATATCCCTTCATAAAAGAACCTCAATAGTCGCTTCATGCTTTCCTGAAAACTTAGAATATATATGGCTTGTAATTTGTTTCTTTAAAGTATTACACTTCTATTATGCTTAACATCACAATGCTGTTTTTATGTATATTCATATATTTTGTGTCTGTTTTGTATTCCAAACAGAGGTGGCATTGAGGGCATTTTGTCTTGCTTTCTTATTTCTAAAGTACTGTAAATAGATGCTGAGGAAATGGGACTTACCATTAATACATGTACCTTGTGGCGATGGTAATATTATAATTCCATCTTGTCTCTTATTTGTGATATGCATTCCTTTTGCTAGATTTAGTACTTTGGTTATTTGCCTGACTTAATGTGTTCCTTGCCTTTATTCTTTATCTGAATTCTTTTTTTTTTTCCAGTCGGACATCATTCACCAGAGTGTGTTAGAACTGATTCACTCAGAAGATCGAGAAGAATTCAAGAGGCAGCTTTCATGGACGTCCATGTTACCACCAGAGAAGTCTAGTATGACATTGCAGGAACTTATGTTGGCAGGTAAAGCAAAAAAAGGCAATCAACCAAATAACTTGCCAATCAGGCTAGGGGGCATGTTGATCCTTGTTCATAATAATAGTAATAATAGTACGTAGTAGAAAGAGATTTAACTTGGTTTCAGGTGCCTTCAAAGCATTCTTGTCCAACATACCTTCCAGGACCTTCTTGGCAGTCTCTGAGTATTTTAAAATGGTATCAGTTGTCAGAACTTAAATGATCCATAGGAAATTCTTTGGATTGCAAATTTTGAGGTGTGGTGTTTTTTTATCCTGAGTGTTCTTTGAAATGATGAAAAGGAAGGAGGGATAAACTGACCTGTAGATAGAAGTAAGGACAGAAGAAAAAGAAAGAGAGAAACCTTATTCATCTAAACTTTTTGTGTTGGTAGAGATGTGCTAACTGCAACTGATCTAACATTGAAAAGAAAAACAATACATTCATATAGCAGAGACACAAGATACTTCCATTCTCTTGATTGTCTATTTGATACTGTCAGATTAGGTAGATCTAATTATAAAGCAGCTTGTATGGATTTTGTATACAATTATGCTAAGTAAAAACACCTTGTTAACATGGCCGTACATGAGATACACTCTTGCTTAGTGATAATGGCCTTTCTAACTGACAGGTAGATGCAATAAGGGAAACTGTGAGATTGTCACTTTATTGGCAACATTTCAGCTGGGTAATACACATAGATCTCAAATTATTGGTTGAACCAAAAAAAGGAAAGCAGAATATGGTGATTTGGAATCCATCACAATTAGAAATTAGGAGGGTACTTTAGCAGAATACCCAAGTGTGCCGTGGCATTGAGGATTAATTGACTTAATTTTTTTCTCATTTTGGAATTTCTTTTAAATGTTTTTTCAATTGAGTGTCTGTCTGTTAAACTGTAAAAATGTGGTTTCATAAATCAGCTTAATGGTTGCAAAGTGAGAAAGGTGAGAACTCAGGTATTTATAGGAAAAACCACTTGAAAAATAAGTGTACAGCAACCTCAGGCATGAGAAAGAAACCTCCATGATGTGTTTTTGTAAATGGAAAAATACACTTCAAAATATACAAAGAGTGTGGTGGTTTTGTATAAAATTATAAAATAAAAAAAAGAGTTACATATCTCTTTGTGTCTATTCTTTTACACAGAATGGGTTTCAACCTTTTCTTTCTGTTTCATACTTTTTAGAAATGAATCTAATAAAAACTGTAGTTGTTGTTTAAATTTGTCACACAAATATTTCTAAGTCACTGGGACAGTCTGTGATTGTGCGGACTTTCTAGCAAGTCTGACAATTATTTTGGCGTCAGACTATTTATCAGCAAGTCCCAGCTAACCTGTCTACTGAGACAATGTGGATATTGATTCTGTACAGAAAATTACACTGTTTCTCAAACCCTGTTATTGTTCTCCTCTGAACAATTATACTTCTCTACAAAGACTATTATCTTTAACTAATGAGTGAGATTAATGAGGTGCCTATTTACCCCTCTGTGGGTCAACTTAACCAACCTCTTGATCATAGACTGAATTATGCATTGTTACTGTTCTGCCATGTCATTCGAAAGATTGGCAAATCTATGCCATGATAATCAATTAAATGAAATGATATCTTATTTTTTCTCTTTATGACTTGTGGGAAATAAAAAACTGTCAATAGCATAGTTTTCAACATTTAATAAATTGAAAAAATCTTAAAATATGCAAACTTTTTAATTAATTTTGTTTTATTTTCATAGTTTAATTAAACTATGTATTTATATTTTTTCCAGAAAATGTTCATCTCCTGCACCGCTCTTTCACTGTACGGTTCCGTTGTTTGTTGGACAATACATCTGGTTTTATTGTAAGTAGATTTGTGTGTTCACAAATGGTATATTTTTGCACATATTGCACATATTTTTGCACATATTTTCAAAGATCATTACATTAACAAGATTTTCTACAGATATTAAATTGGTTAAGCATCTGTAATGGATTTCACTTGCTGCTTTCAATGTATCTGCAAGTTGTTTTTTGATACACTTTGTTATCAATCCAATGTACTGACTTCTCTCTTTCTTTTTTCACTTTTGTTTGTTATTGAAAAACACCTGCCAGCTGATGCCAATTTGATATTTTTTCCTCCCTTTTATTCACAGACCCTGGAGATCACAGGCTGGCTGAAATACCTTCATGGACAGAATGTGAAGTCAGAAGAACCTCTGTTGGCTTTATTTGCAACTTGCTGTCCATTTGGTCCACTCCCAGTGCTGGACATGCAGCAGAGGGACTACACGTTTAAGAGCAAACACAAGATGGACTTGTCTCCAGTGTCCATTGACCACAGGTGGCTCATTGAATTACTTATCTTTATCGAATTATCACTTGTGATAATATGTTAATATATCACATTATCACTACAAGATACATGTACTAGTATATATTCTAATTCTCTCATCTTATCAGCAAGGTGTTACATGTGTACAAACATATCAGTTGATGGTCGTGATACTATTTTAACAATTATGCAAACTTAGACAAGAAATGGTCTTAATGAGGCCACAAGATGACCAGATGACCACATGAGATTTGCAATTATAGATGGTGTCCCTATGTATCTGGTCACCTAGTGAAAGAAACTGCCCATTTTCCAGTCAAAGATTATTTCTATATTAATACAACTCAATTTCAACATTTAAATTGAAGAAGAGTATAGTTTTAGTCTTTGTTATTCTATCAATATTTTTTTTATGTATTAGGGGAAAAGTACTGTTTGGATACACAGACCCAGAGTTAGCAACGCGAGGCGGCTATGATCTCATACATCCAGATGATCTGAACTATTACTCTGCGGCACATCAGGAATGTGAGTACATATATTTATACATATGTATGTATAAGAACATGTGCACAGTTTTTGCCATTTCATGTAACACACTATTGCAACTAACACACTGAGTTACAAGATACATTGCTCTGGGAATAAGGTGTGTGAGCAGATGGTGAAACTAAATGTCCTTGAACAGGGTTTTTAAGCAGAACTACAGTATCACCTGACATTCTTTGTTTTCCTGAAAGGGAGTACTTGAAGCATTATACTTTTGTGTAGCATAACATGTATTCGATGAATAGAACGGCAGCAGCAGACTAATTAACGATATTCACAGTGGGAATGTGTGTGTGTGAAGCACCACATGTTTATCAACTGATTTCTTTCATCGCAGTTTCTGAAATATATAACGTTCTAGACAGCATGAACACCTTGACGGAGAGACAGAATGAAACCTGATAGAAATCATCTGTGTAGGCATCATTAGATAATTGTTTAAACACTATAAACAATAGATGTAAAGGTATATGGGTGTTTTGATTCTTTTAATAAAGCTCAAAAAACCAGTTAGTCAGGTTGATGTGCGTTTGAAAGTATATTGGTCTGAAATAACTGTAACATTATGCCAGTATTTATTTATTTATTTTATTTTTTTAGTAATGAAAACTGGTAACTCAGGTTTGATAGCCTACAGACTGATGACAAAAGACTGTAGGTGGCTGTGGTTGCAGAGTAGCTGTAAGATTATTTACAAGAACAGCAAGCCAGATTTTGTTCTTGTCACACACAGACACCTCACGTAAGTTTTTTAAAAAATTTATTTATCAATTACATTAATCCTTCCAACTCATGCTATTTTGGAAATTAAATTTCATCATACAAAAGTATATGCTGAATTTGCACATTCTTTAGAGAATTTGTACTTTTCAGTGTTCTATAAAGCTACAGCATTTATTCAGTTCTATGCAAGCAATTTTGCACGGGTATTTCATATCTCCAAGAAAGTTTTAACTTATCAACATTCAATTTACAGGGATGATGAGGGTAAGGATTTAGTTAGAAAACGTGGTACAGAGTTCAAGCTCCCATATCCCATAATAGACTGTGGTGACACTCTCAGTGAACTGGGCTCTCCAATAGAAGAATCTCCCTACAGTCCCAAGTTTAAGTCACAGAAGAAGCAGAAACCCAACAAGCCCCAGCTCAAGGACTACCTGCAGACAGGAAGGAAAAGAAAGCAACCATACAGGGAAGGAGTGAATGGACTGAATGGATACTCCCCATACAGTCCCATCAGTGGTTTCACAGCGGCCCAAAATGGTGACCTCAAGACGGCGGCACCCACAGAGTTGATGTACCCATATGCAAGCAATAACTTTGGTCTGGAGGCAGATTTGTATCGCTCTCATAGTTATCACACCGCGTTTGCCACAGCGGGCTTGTATCCTAGTGCAGCAGATAGTTACAGAATAGCCGAGGCAGACAAACACACATATCCCAATGGTTACTACTTGGAGCCAAGGCAGTACCAGCATACTCTACATTACAATAGCAATACCTATCCGGACTTGATGGCTACCACAAGTAAATATGGTTACGATGTAGCCAAGTATGGCTATGATGTGAGTGCCTACGGGCACGATAAATATGGGTCTGATTATCGAAAATATGATTTCTCAAACGAGCGACTGAGCCATCAAATGAATGGTAGCTTCATGGACTCCATGTGTTTGAAATCCAGAATCTCATCCAGTTCCTCTCTTTTGAACACTGATGGTTTGGTCTCTACGAACATTTCTAGCAATCCATGTTCAGCATTTCGGTCAGATATAGCTACAGATCGCTATGACCAGCATGTTTCTGAACTATTACCAAGGGAGAACGGTAAAAAGAATTCCTCTACAGTGGAGGGCTCCACTAGCCCCAAGAATGTACTCCCAAACGGCCATGGCTCAGTGATCATCAACCCCAAACCCAAATCTGTAAGTCGTCAAAACAGCATTGAAGCCCTGGCGTCCACATCCACCTCGGTGATTCAGGCCACCAGCTCGTCCATGCCTCTGTCTCAGTCTTCTGTGTGGTCACCATGTAACCGCTTGACCAGCCCAGAGGATAAGGAACACCCCGACCTCTCCCGGTCATCCTCCCATGACCAGTCCAATGGGTCAAGTCCTATGGCCAGCAGGGACGACCTCAGTCCAGTTGCCCTAAATTCTACCAATCACAACAATTCTTCTAGTCCTGTATCTGCTACCATGGCAACCTCAGTGATCCAGCCAACAGACAGAAGGACCATGGCTCTGTAAGTTCTATTGTTAGTGCTTTTGCGTGGATTAAATTTTTAATTTGCAATTTGAGGATGTTGTTGTTGTTGTTGTTGATTTTTATTTTTAGTCTTTCTCTTGTCACATTTTGAAGTAAATCTGTTTTTTCATTTTAGGCCAGTATCCCAACATAAGCAGCCTTCCTCTATCTCTGGTGGTATAGCTGTCCCGGTGGTGAAGTCCACTCCATGGATACATCACATGGGGCTCCCCCTTGAGCACAGGCCATGGACAGGTAGTGACACCTATGGTTGTCCTACCACACTAAGAGGGGGTGACACTTACCAATCTTCCTTCCACGACGCAAGGGTCAGTAGCTACAGGTGATGGGAATTTTTGTATTTTTACTTATAATGTATCTGCATTTGCATGTCATGATAACAGAAAATTATTTCATTTAGTTTAACATAACTTAATTACTAATTGTGGGTTAGAGTTAGGGTTTAACATTGTCATCCAAAGTTGTACTGATGAAATAAAAGGGATGGTTCAGGAAACAACGTGGTCAGGAGGCAAATGTTTACTTTAACTATTGTGTTGAATTTTTGATGATACTCATCTTGTTCAGCTATTTTTGATTATACTAATTAGACTGAGGGTATAAGAATTCCCTCTTGAACAGTTAGAAGGGCCTCCTGTTGAGAGTAGTTAAGGGAATATGTACATGTACACAATTCTAACCAACTGAATTTGCCATTCCCTTTTCTTGTTCTTTTCTATAATTGTTATTATTGATTGTGCCATACCTGAGTCACAGTGCTGAGTAATCAATTTTAAGGCATGGTCAGATAACATGGATTTTGTTATTTATAGTGGAAATAAACTTATCTGTCACACAATGGTTGCCATTTGACATTTATGATGAGGTTTCTTTACCTTTTTTCCCACAAAATCTTCATGTCTTCTTTGGGCCTAGATCAAATTTTGGTTCAGAAAAGACCTTTTCCCAATGAAAAGTGTTGATCTTTCAAACCTTTCCAACACCCCCTCTGCCTACGTTGCTATTTTAAAAACATGAATGCATCTGAAAAATGCACTAAATAAGATTACATACAAGTCAGTGCTAAGAATGCTAACACACTTTTTTCTGTTTACTTCCAGTTGTCTTTGAAGATAGATGATAGAAGTGGAGGACCCAATCCCATAAGCCCTCTTCTCTCTTTCTCTGAAGTAACTCACACCCTGCTGAGCAGTGACCAGTGACCAAGAAATAGCACTGATGACCATGAATCATTGAATGAACTATTGAGGGAAGGACTACTTAATGAATTGACCATCAGGGTGGCCATTCTTGACTACTGAATAATCAGGGGACTGCTTTCTTAGATGACAAGTAATCAAGAAGTGATGACTGAAAAATGCATTTAGGGGCAATTTTAAGAAAATGACAAATTTTATGGCAATGAAATTTGTTTGAGGAAGAACAGTCTGAGAAATAATGTTCACAAGATTGACACCATTAGAAGTAAATATCTTAAAGGATAGTTAAATGTAGAGTCATTTGAAACAATTCAAGTTGATAATAAAGTTCACATCATGGTGCTAACAGCTGTTTTTTTTTTTTTTTTTTTTTTTTTTTCATTTTTAAAATACAGCTTGCCAAAATATATGTACATTTGTTTATCTAAAGATGGTTAAAGGATGACTTAAATAGACATAGCATTAAATATCATGTACATGTATGTACTGTAGTTGTAGATATCCTTTTAAAGAAAAAAATATTTCTTGAATACCCAACTCAATATGTTCCCAAGATCCACCATAATTTGTAACCACAAATTACATTTGAAGAAGGTTGTGGACATATTTTTTTAAGTGGAAGTACACTCAGAACAATCTATGCGAGTTAAATGCTACAATCAGGTAAAATAGATAAGAACAGTTTAAAAGAAAAGTTTATGTAATGTATTTTGAGTACATTGTTCATTCTTAATCTTTTTAATACAAAAAATACCATGAATTTTATTGTATGTGTGCACATATTGGCATCTTTTTTTTTTTCAGTATAGACATTGATATTTCAGCTAGTAGTACTCACAGATGAAAATTATAAAATTATCTGGTTTATTTGAGAAAAAACCGACATAGCTCCATATAAACCAGTTTTCTTTAGTTCTTAGAACTGCTTTTTTATGACATGCCCTATTCATCAGAAAATTCCGCTCACCATCATACAGGTGTGTTAGTAATTTGTGTGATGTGTGCAACATCTCATAATGAATTTTAGAGGTCTTCGCGGCTGAAACAAAGCCAATTAAAACATAAGGTCCCAATACCTCTGAAAGCCTACTAAAAAAATGAAGCAATTTTATGAACCACCAACCAGCCTCTTTTTAAAAGGAGTTACCATTGAATTTTGCTGCATCAATAGTGATTCCAATCCTGGTATTTCATTGTATTCAACTGCCAAACCCATTATACTCATTGTCAAAGAGGGATTAATTTTTTGAAATAAAAATGTGAAAACATAGACAAGTTCATTTTAGAATGACTTGCAGGAATATTTTGTGTTCGATTCGGGTAATTTTTATTGTTTGTAACATTAGTTCCAATATTGTCATCTCCGTATGTGTAGGCGTCACATGTACTTGCACATGTATTTTTATGGTCATTTTGTTGAATGAAGTTTTAAGTCTTTATTTATTTACAGTGACTTGGAAACTTCAAAATTGAGCAGTTATGTTGTTAAATATTTTAACAAAATAAGAAAAAAAATATAACATATGCCAAACAAATGTAAGTTTACATTAGTTTTTCATGTTATTGACATCTAAGTCTACATGCAAATATAATTCAAATATTGTAAAAAAAAAAATGTGGGGTTATTGGTTCTGTAAAATGAATACAGGTTTTTAAATGTAGTATAGATTTATGTGTGTACACTCTTTTCATGGAACGTACTGTTTTGCTGATGTGGTTCCAGTCTGCTTTGACAAAGGGGTAAGCTTAATTTGACAAGAAAGGTGGGTGAAACACCTACAATTATGAGAGTATATATATATAT